TTGACACGACGTCTTAAAATTAACCATATACGGTTCATAAATAGACTTATTATTATTTCTGTAGAAAATATTACCCACTCTTGATAGAAACGTAGCATGGAAATAAATTTTCTCTATTCTGATATTTCAAGTGTCTTGTGTCGAATATTTTTCAAACTACAAGGATGCCCAGATCAACGTAATCATTAAGGTTTTTATGGAAGAAATAATAAAATGATATGCTTCGTGAATTTTTTTTACAACATATATGGCCTATGCATAACTATATTGTCATAGTCATTAAAGTGTTGTGGACCATGCTCTTTATTTAGAAAAAATAGAAGGTACTACATGAGATAAGTTGACGAAATTTGATAAAAGTTTAGAGTTTATGGCGTATGCGTTCAAAGATCTATATTTCCGACTCGAAGAGCAGAATTGTACTTATGCCCGTGTAGAGCATTAATACAATTGACTGAAGTTGTATTTAAATGAATTTAAGATAATTGCTTTTAACAATATTATCTATTGTTATAACATTGTGCTTTAAATATTACTTGAGCCATTTGAAGATTCGAACATTCTGATGCCCGAATATGCTTGTGCTCGAACACTGGTAGGTGCTTGAAATATTTAATAACAATTAATATTCAAGCATTTATTATTATATATATATATATGACAGTAGTGCTTATTTGTACTCTAATAGAAGAGGTGTTATATAAGTAATAATTCCAAGACCATTGATGGTAAGTATTTGGCAATATTTGACACATCTGCATGATCAGCCAAATCTTTAATTTAGGTATTTGGCAATATTTGACACATCTGCATTATCAGCCAAATCTTCAATTAATTAAATTAATATAAAAATAATTTTTGTTGTTGTAGTGCACTACTACAATTCACTACTAACGACAGTAAGCCACTGATCCGATTTGCTGGCGGAGGCTATTCGACGCGGCCAAGGACGACTTACTTCTATAATGGCCAACTAAGTAAGTAAGTAAGATCTATTGTGCAATTAACTTGAACATTCAGCAGTTTAAAATCTATTTACTCGATTTAGATACTTAAATTCGGATTACTTCAAATTGCTCTATTATCGTTATGTTCGAACACTTTAAGATATAACTTAGAAACTTTTCTGTAGTGATTATAAAAAAGATTTTCAAATTTGCAGTATATATTATTATCACTTCTATAAATGATTGATAAAATAAAACAATTAATATATATATTTTTTCATCCTCTTAAATGCTTTAGAATAATTATAGGATAATTTTTTTTAAACGCTTATTGTGTCTAGAACTAACTATGTTCTTTACCAAAGTTTTTATACTATTTATTTAGCACTTGTTATTGGGTTAGGTCTAAGTTCCTTTTAGAACTGTTGGTCTGTTGTGTCAAAACTGTTACTAATAACGAAATACTATAGAATTAAAAAAAAACAATAATGGAAGAGAAAAACCATAGACGCATATTATAGGATAATCAGAAAAATCAAGTTGAAATAGCTTTAATGAGCTGATAAATAAAATGACTATTATTTAAATTTTAGACTTTAACTACTGAAATTATTTACTTTATAATTTATATACAGAGCTTTTGAAATTAGATACATAAATTAAACAAAAAGTATAATGCAGTTTTTCAAATAATTATATATAATTAAATTAGTGGAGTCAAAAAAAAAAAAATGTGGTGAATAAAGTAAATGTAAATTATTCAAAATTAATTGTCATAAGGTAACTTACTTATAATTAAGCAGATTTCCAATATTGTACACTTTTTTAATTTTTTTAATTTTATTTATGAAATTTGCAAAAAATTTATTTTCTATGATAAAAACTCAAACTGACAGCACTAAAAACGAATAGCAAAAAGGTTATTTACAATTTTCAATCATTTAATTTCACCACGACAAAATATGAAACTATTTAAGTATGAATTTATGTATATATATATATTTTATATATCTAATGTATTATGTAGATTTTTTGTAATATGACAGTAAATTCATTACTAATATGTTAGTTGTTTCTAATGATTCGTTGAAAGATTTTTTTTTTTTAGTTTCTATGTGTACTATAGATTTTTTCTATATTTGGCTATCAGCATTCATTTATTTGTGATATATATATATATGTATGTATATATATATTATATAGTAAAATTATTATATGTAGACTTTGTTAGTTTTTATTCATAATTCATAATTCTAATTTAAACTAAACTAGTCTACTATATGTTCTATATGTTATATACTAAGTATTGTTCTGATGAAATTCTTGGAAGTGTGGTGGGATACGAGTTTTATCTAACAAATATTTAAATAATTTTTATTTCACCATGATTTTTGAATATCGCACACAATTTTCAATTTTCAAATTTTCAAATAAAATAAATTCAACATAAATTATTAGGGTTATCTTAATAGTTTAATAACAATATTTTTGAGTTGCTTAACGAGTGGATTAATAACACACACACATAACAAATTACTTATACTCGTATATTATATAGTCTTAAATAATTTTAGTTCAATTTCTCAAAATAACAAGTTGAATTTTCTATATAACACAGTCATTAGATTAATTAAAATAGTACTAAATATAATCATGGCAAATAAGTATTTAATTTAATGTTATGAATATTCAGACCGAACTCGGTAAAATAATTTATATTAATTTATCGATCTGTTTTCTTATAATGATTTTTATATATTTTTTAATCTGGCTATAGGTCCCTTTTTGTTAAACAATTCAATATAGATTCAATATAGTGCAATATAAACGATAGAATAAAGAGGATGACGTAGATATGGTTTTAGTAATATTAATTTATGTTAGATCGTAATCCTGATGATGACTCTCAAGAAGAGTCGAAATTTAACATAAAGGGACCTATAGCCAGATTAAAAAATATATAAAAACCATTATAATTCACATTATTTAACTCTTAACTATACAATACACTCGTATAAAATTATAAGGTACAAGGAAATTTCGTAAAATATATATTTTTTTATATAAATTTAATTTAATTTAAGCTATAATTTAAGAAAAAATGTTCTATAAATTTATGTACTTATTTATATATGTTTATGTACATATTTAGTTAAAAAAGGTACTCAATAATTTTTTTATAACAAGATACAAATACAATGTAAAGCGTTTATAACATATTAATAATAAATAAAAATAATTTAAAAATCTATGAATTCATTTAAATTTTTGAAATCCACAAAACTTGTTACTACTGCATATTGAATTTAAAATATATTTTCAAGGGAAAATTTTTAAAACAATATGTGTACACCTATTAAATGAAAAAAAAAAATATCGCATTCTACTAATAGTTTGTTCTGACAATTGTACTTAACTTATTTTCGGGCTTATCTCAGTAAACGTGTAGGGTTTAATCACATCTGCTTTTTTTCTAAGGTATAAGCTTCCCCAATTCCTGGCCCTTTATCTAAATGCTACCCTTCGCGTATCTCTTATAATCCCATTCTACAATCGTGGTAACAATAACAAGAACTAACTTACTTTCTCCATTCACTTGTATTCAGTTTTGCTTTGATCATATTTTTTGTCTAAATACTAAACCTTCTGTATTCTAATATCTTCCTTTAATTTGATTACTGGAATGGGGTTTAACCATTTGACTTTTACTTTCCATTTGCATCACTTTTCTGTCGAATATCGGTGTTTATGAGTATCATATGAAAAGAGTATAAATCATTATAACTGCTGTCAGCAGTACGTATGAATCAAGGGGTTTCGGATATACCAAAAAAAGAGTCAGAATGCATATAAATGAAACACATTCAATAATTCGAGCATGATTCGAGTGTTCGACTACTCATTACAGTTCTCTGATGCTCACAACCTTCAGTGGAAGAACAACTGCAACTAAAGTTTTTCCTTGAGGTAACCGAAGTTAACATGGATGTCGATAAATGATTATAATTAACAGAATAATAGCTATATATTGATATATTAAAAGTCGATAAATCGTTAGTCGATAAATAGCTGTATATCTGATGATATATGGCGGGAAACTAATCTATTTTAATTTGTACAAAATAATTTGTAATGGTTTTAAAAAACAAAATTTATATCTGAACAAATATAATTAAACTGTTAAAATATTTAATACATACTTGTAAAGTTCAAAATCGACAATTTACAGTTTTATGTTCTTTGGACGATATATGATCTGCTTAGTTCAAAAAATTGATCAGTTCAAAGTTTCATTAAAATTGTTGCATTGTAAATTCCAAAGGAAAATATTTTTTATAAACCCATTAAACCTCATTGTGTAAACTTCAACCCGTTATTGCTCGAGACCCATATGTCTAAATTAACTTGAAGCGGTTTAAAAATTCAAAAAGAGAAGAAAAAAAACACTTCAGTGTTATTAATGGAATGTTTTAGCAGTACAATAATAATCTTAAGTAATTACATCAACGTATTTATATATAATCATATTATCAGAAGACGAACATTCTATATAGATATTACTTACAAAATGCGACAACATTTCTTAAAAGCAACGTTTTAATTTAAATATATACATGTCTATATATATGTAATCTCGAGAAAACATGGCACTGTTATATTATATAGAAGTTACCTGATTCTAGTATATGATTCTGATTCTAGTATAAAGAAATTCAATATGCAATAGTACAAAGATCAACATATATCTCTGCAAGAATATTTAAAATACAAAAGAAATTCAGATAATGTATTAATTGTATACAGTTTGATAATTTTCTATATTAGAATATATTATAACACCTTACAGATTAAAAACAAATTCAGGTAGTTGGGTAAAAATTTAGTTAGGGGTTTAAAATTTAAAAAAGTATTAACATAAATTTGAGCAATACTTTTTTACGTATATTTCTTAATATAAAAAGTTTTATTATACAAATTATGTATATACTATGTATATATATATATATATCATAAAATAATTACAAAAAAAAATTTTTTTCAATTCCCTAAATTATATTAGAATCTATTAGCGCTACACATAGAAAATTAAGCCCTAAGACAAATTATATACTAATTAATATCTTCTATGAATTTTGGTTGAAGTATTTTTTTTAAGGATAAATAAATAGTTTTTTCTTAAAAATTACTTTTCCAATACTCAGCTTAATGCCGTTTTAATCCTTATATGTTCACAATTTGTCAAAAGGACTTACGTTCATTATATGTAATAATGGGATAATGCAATGGGATTTTTGTCTAAGTTAAAATTAAACAATCTAATGTAGTAATGCATTTGTTTCATTGTCAATAGAAGTCTTGTAATCTAATGAGCTGCCTCCATTCGTTTGTGGAGTTAGTAATGAAGCTTTAATATCTTCCTCTGATTCTTCTGATTTTGAATAGTTTTCTTTATGTATTATAATATTTTGTATCTGATTAATATCAGTTTCATTAATTTTACTTATGCGTGGTGTCGGTGGTGAGCCACTATACTGGCTACGTTTGTCATTTGGTGAGAGTTTAGTATGTCCGCCATAGCCACTTTTGTCCGATTTACCCTTGGTCAAAAGTAGTTATAAAATAATTATATATAAACATATATAAATGAAAAACAGAATTAGAAAAAAACTTACAATTAAATAATATGTCATTAATTGACCCTTTCCTTTAACGCTAACCAAGCCGCGTTGCTGAAATGTGTAACCAAATTCCTGCAATATGTTGCATGTTTCTTCAGTGACCTAAGAGATTAACAAAGTCATGTGTTAGTTTGTTAAGAAAGTAATTAAAAACATAAATTATATATATATATATAACTGATTAAAACAATTATGCTATACATTTAGTATATAGACATACATATACATATATGCAAAATATATAGGATTAGGCGATTGAAGTGTTACCAACTACAGACACAGGTATATCTGAAAATATCTCCCACTCATATTCCAAAATGAGCACAATGTAAAGTCTTACAAGTTCTAAAAGTCACAAGATCTTACCTCAAAGCAACAAAAAATTAGACTTGAAAGAGCAAAGGAGTTGTTACGTTTGCACAAACATGGCGAATTTCCAAACATTGTTGTCTCTGATGAGAAAAATTTCCCCATTGAGGAGTTCATAAACTCTCAAAAAAATTGGTGATTGTTTACTTAACTGAATGCACTGTCGTTCACTGTCATTTGTGAGTACGACTGGGCACCCGAAGTAATTTAATTTTCCATCTCAAGTAATAATATGGTCAGCTGTGATCGCCGAAGAACGCTCTCCAATCGTTTTCATCCAGCCTGGTGTAAAGTCAATGTGACTTATCATCGGAAAAGTGTTTTGGAAGTTGCTTTAAAGCTACGGGCATACAAACCTTTCGGTCGTAGACCATGGACTTTTCAACAAGTCTCGGCACCCTAAAGCTCATGTGAACCAAGAATGGTTACAAAATCATGTTACACACTTCATTTCGTTCGCACAATGGCTTTCGAATGAGCCAGATGCAAAGCTGGAGATTAAGTTGAGGACTAATAAATATGCCAGTATGGATGCGCTAAAAAAGCCATTGTTCAGGAATGGAACCATGTACCGGAAGATCACATGCGTAAAGCATGCAATTCATTTTTTAACCGTTTGAAGGTCATAGTCAAAGCAAAAGGTGGTTACATCGAGCTAGAGCGAATGAATCGGTTGAATGAATGGTTGCTTGAATAAGTAACACTTCAATCGCTTAACCCTGTATATGTACTTTCAATTTAGTTTACCTATTAATTGCTTTACAATTAAGTTTTTGAAAGAAAAATGTCGCAACTGTTCCGACATTCCAGTTGGTTACCGGATTAAGTAGTTGATTCCTTGCTATAATTATTAACAGACTTTTCTCTTAAGCTTAAGTTGCTGAAAATTTACTAAACAGTTTATTTTAACCTGTGTTACCATTTCAACAAACTAGGTAAGTGGAGGAATATTACCTATACCTAAAAGTTGATAATATTTCTAGTTACAATCTCTTAGACTATTTGATTTTTACATATGTCAGAAAGAAAATACTGGGGCAGAAGCCTTAATCCTCGATTAATTAGGAAATCCTCAATAAGGAACATTTTGACCTTATTTCAAAAGGTTTAGTGGCTTCTATTCGATTAAAATCGGTTGCTAGCACAAAAGATTCAAGAGCGTTGAGCTCACTCACTCTTATAAATGATATTGTCATGCATGTTCATTTCAATGCAATGGGATTGTCAAAAGCTATAGAATATTGTGTCTAAATAAAAGGCAATAAGATTTCTAGTTACAATTTCAGTGACTATCGGATTTTGATATTGATGAGGTGGAGATAACTAACACATAACCTTCTATCTCCAGTGTGTTAGAAAATCTATTACTAGAACCAGTTTAACTTTTAATTAATAGATTGTGTGTTTACTACTCAGTTAAGTTTAATTATTAACACAAATGATGCACTATATTCACAGTGCACTGCTACATTGGAACGCTAGAACCCTGTATCATCTTCTATTATTTCTATTTCTCAACTACCATGTTTTGACGTACCTGTATAGCTCCAGCTTTACCAGTACTCTCCATACGTGAGGCTACATTTACTGTATTACCCCATATATCATAATGCGGTTTACGTGCACCGATAACACCAGCTGTTATAGGTCCATGATTAATACCCATTTTAAGCACAAAATGATTAAATGATTGTTCATTAATGCCTTGTAAAGCATTTTTCAATTCCAAAGCAAATTCAACCAATACAGATAGATGAGCCCAACGTTTTGTTATCGGATCATCTGGATGTGATATACGATTTATATTAATACCACTTGCTGCCATATATGTGGAACCAATTGTTTTAATTTTTATTATGTCTTGAAACTGTGGAAGCTCTAACAACTGTAAAAAAATAAATAATATTTTAATCAATTTCTTACTTTTTGTAATATATTTTATTTACCGCATCAAAATCAGAAATAACTTCATTTAAAAATCTTAAACACTCAAGTCCTTGATTGTTCACAGTTTCTTCAGAATAAAAATCTAAAAATTTTACGTATATTAATATAATATATATATAAATACATATATATAAATTTATATACAAACTTAAGTACCTACCCGAAAAATTTGGCATGCTTGCAAATAGTACACCGACCTCTGCATAACTTTGGGAATATAAGTCATCATGGGATCGTTTAGTGTTTTTCATAAAATGCTCAGCTACATGTACAGGAAGTACATTATAGACTAAAGCCTCGTTTCTTTGACGCATATCGGTTGCCATATCTTTTTGCTCAGCTACTTCAGTTTTCCATTTGAAGATAACACGATCCTCACGATCCATCTAATTGTCAAATCAAGAAAAAATTGATTTAATTGATTTAAAAATGTATGTATTTTAAAATTATAGAAGATTTAAAACTTTTACGTCTAATATAATATTCAATAAACTATGAGATATAATATATATATATATATATATAAAAAGAATATTAAATTTTTATTTTATTTTCCATTTTGTTAGAACAATGCAATCAAACCCAATGAACTACAATCAAATTTAAACTATATAAAACTGATGGCAATATTACCTAATGAAACTTGATTTTATTGCTTATGAGGTGTGGGAATATAAAGAACTATTGCTAGATCCTTCTAATGACTTAACAGTCTTTCACATCTCAAATTCCAGTCATAGGTGATAACACTGATAATATTGGAAAATGGGTGCTGTGGTCTTCAGAAAAAACTACACGTGTGGCAAGTGGTGTTTAAATAGTTTAAACGCTCAAATTCTAGAAAAATAGCTGATCGGCTAAATGTATTGAAATTAACTATGCATTTAATACTCAAGACCCGACTCAAACATGTTATAATTAGTCAAACGACCAATTGTTGAATACCGTCTTCTTTAATTAAAAAACATATCCAATTGAATATTATTTGATATTTTTGGAACGTCGCTTCAACTTTAACGCGATTGTCTATCTTGTTTGGATAACCAAACATTTCGGTGTGAAATATAGTGAATGTTTTAATAATATTCCGCTCCATAACAAAAACCACATTCCAATCGATCATGACTGAGAAAATAAACCCATTTCGACAGATAAATGACTTCCATGATCTTGCATATTTTACATATTTTAATTATAAGAATATATATCTAAATTTCTTACATGACGTGCGAAAAAGGACAGTGCTACAGTCACCACCACCAATGTTCCAGACGCGCAAAAACTTGACATCATTGCACTGAAAAGAAACAATATATATATGAGGCTATCATTTCAATTTAATTATTAAAAATCACATTAAATTAAAGGTACATTAGAGTGTTACATTAAAAATATTATTTTATTTATTATGGTTCATTATCACCCTAATGCTCTCATTACTTGATAGGTATAACCAAAATTATAAAATATGAAAAATAAATATAAATGTATATATATATAAATATCTCATGAATAACAAGTTTTATAACATAATACGGTCCCATCTCATCAAAAATTTTAGTTTGATGAGTAGATATCCCTTTTTGATGACATTTTGACAGTGATTTATAGATTTAAAATTTTTATTACCTTCTTTTAATAAATGTATGAATACATTTGAAGTAATTAAATTCAAGTGAGAGGTTACACAACCTAACCCCTGACATCTCAGCCTACAGCACCCTCCACGCAGACTTCGTCCAAGCCTTACGTTATAAACCCTTCCATTATCTGGGAATTCGACTCTTCCATCATACTTCTCTTTCACCGCGGCCCTCTTTCATCCTGGTCACAGAGTCTACCACTAGCTTTACCTCCACACCTGCTTAATACCCCACCCCCTTCATCAATCTCCAGTCCACCTTATTCATGGCCATCCTTTCTAGCTTACATAAACCTAGCCTGCTAGGTATTAAGGCACTTGCTCTAATGTCTCTCTCTTTATTACTGGAATCAAATTTCCACATTGTTGTGAAATCTTTTCATACTGAGGGTTTCAATGCTTTCTAACATACCTACTGGAAAAAAAAATTCAACTGAGAAAATAATTTCGTTTAATGCAAATTGTTCTTGCTATTAGTGGTTTGTTCTGTACTGAATGTAGCAGTAAAGGAAATACGTTTTAAGTTAGACTTACTTTATTAGTTATAAGTAAATAATGTGCCATATATATATATATAACACAAGTCAATTACACTAATGATTTGTATTTTTTAAACATCTTAACAGCGGCACTTCAAACTGCTCCGCTACGAGGCTTATTCTCTAGATCTCATCTCAAGAATCATTATTAAACGTAAATTTGAGACAGATCAGTGTAGAAAAAAATCTAAAAAGGTCAAAAAAGTAATTGCAGAAACAGACAAAAAGCAGAAAGCATTAAGGCCTTTAATAAATTATTACATAAAACAGGATAGAGCAGCTATGAACACAACATAATGTTTGTAATAGAGTTAAAGGACAATACATTGACAAATAAAACCCAGTATTTGTAAAAATATATGTTTTTATATGTCAGAACAAAATCTATTGTCTTACCATATATATCATATAATATACTTACGATGTTTTGGCTAAGTGATCTTCAAACGCATATAAATCATTCATTATGAACATATTCCAATAACAATGTAATGCTATGAATAAATTATTGTAATATATGCGATTTACAATATATATATGTAGGATTCTTACCAGCAATGATTAGCATAAGCACTATTTTCGTGACGTGTGTTAACTGTGCGATAACTGCTATAGAGATTAATATTAAAACAGCAAAATTGCTCATATAGGATGGATAAACTATAAAATCGCTTTCTAAAGTACTATCTTCCAAGGGTTCATTTACAGATTCAGTTACTGAAAAACCAACGGTGGTAACATTGAATTCTCCTTCGGTCACTATGTGCTCCGTTTTCACAAAGGCGAGAAAAAAGTACTAAAAGAGGAAAAAAAATTGTTTTATTAATTAAGAAAGTAGAAATGTAATCATTATCTTATTTTTAAAACTATTACGCAGAACTCACCATATCGATTACATTACTTAGACCCAGTGTAACAGCTATTATTATTGCCGCCAACTCCCGCACAAATGTTATATCGTTAAATCGTTTACTAATGCTAACAAAGAACTCTGGCGCATCTTCTGGAAAACTTTCCGCAATCGAAATAAAAACCAACATAAAAATGGGTATTATTGGTGCAGATATATTAACAAAATGTAATGGAGATCTATAAAAGTAACCAAATCATGTTTTTGGCAAATTATGTCTTACGGAAATTTTCTACTTTACCTTGGCAATACTATAAAAGAATATACGATATCAACGCATTGTACTAGTAGAGCTGCAATAAGTGGCACAGATGAGTAGGGCTCTCTATAAGCTGCGTAAGCGATTTCTAAATTTTTATTTTTAAATTTTAAAAATAGTGTAGTATTTTGTGACAAATTTCTATAAAGAAAAAATTATAATAAAAGCATAATTATTATTCGTAAAAAAATCATTTATGGTTGGGATTAAATTGTAATTGGGTCTTACTCATGACCGTCCCTGGCGACCAATTCTTCTTCAAGTCGTTGTTTAAAAACTGTTTGTTTGTCCAAAATTTCAACTTCTGTCTCAATTTCGTCATTTTTTAAATTTTTTCCATTTGAACTTTTTAAAAGTTCTTCGTCTAAAGTTTCCTGATCGTTGTCAATGTCTTGGGATTCGATGGTTTTTTTAGCACAAGGAGATGCGAACTATAATCACAAAATAATATAATAAATGTGTTAACATCAACAATATCTTTTGTTCCAACAAAACGATTATAAAGAAAACACTTTTAAAAAAATATAATTGCAAAATTGATATTTTATATATTATATATTATACATTATATATTATATATTATATATTATATATTATATATTATATATTATATATTATATATTATTATATTATATTATATATATATATTATATATATTATATATTATATATTATCCCATGGGATAATATATAAGTGCTTTTCAAAAAATATATTGTATAATACTTACCGGTTTTAATACTTTTGTTATAAAATATGTTTTTAAGCCCGCAATGCGTAACGCTTCCTCTCTTTTTTCTCCGTAAGCCGGTTCTACTTCGAACTCTCCAGTCAAAAATGCAAGTGTTTTATCAGAAATGTGAACTCGCCTAAAATAAAGATATTTATAATATAACTATTAACGAATTTTACATGTTTCTAAAATAAACAGATTATATTATTTAAACTTTAACTATAAATATAATTTTGAACTACTTAAAAGGTACGAGTAAGAGTGCAGGTACTGCAATATCTTTTAAAAACAAATCTATCCCTTTTTGTTCTTTTGTTAACACTTGCAAATATGTACAAGATTTTCTTTCAGTAGGTAATCAAGAAGCTGATAATTAGTCTGTCAACTAAAAACATATTGATACATAGAAGCAAATCAGAAGTATTTATGTTAATATCTCTCTTTACATGGCATAGTACATGACATAGTACACCTGTTGCGTTTATGTCCAGGCTTCTCTGGAATCTGGTTTAAACTTTTGGGAGCCGGTTCTTTAACACACTCAGCGATATCTCCAGCATTAGCATTGGTCAGGCTCTCGCTTTTATAAATGCTTCTGGCTGGATTGAACTAGACCATTCTTCAACCCATTAATATAAAGAATTTTGGAATCAAAACGGCTTTATTAGCTAATTGAGGAGGATTCGTTCCTCCCTCCACTTCACCTAACCTAACCTAACACCATATTTTTATTAAGTATAGACTTACGCCTGATCAGTGTTTATAAATTATTTATGTATATATTTAAAATCGATGTTCAGTATAAAAGTATTTTTAAATTACTACCTTACTTCTGAGTCAGTAGTTTTGTTAATAAAAATAACTTTTGATATATTTAATAAACAAATGCCTAACACTATCCAACAACCACCAATCCAACCTCAAAAACACACTGTTTCTGTCATTGCCAAAAATAGATATAATCGGAACGTCACCAATTATATCGGAACGTCACAGGAAAATATGTTGTCGATGGGTTTTTGTTTGAATGACATTGTGCATGTATGTCACATTGCTAGAAAAATCAATAAGATATAAAACCCAGTAATCGCTAACTATATTATCTACAGAAATAGAGCTATGGAGTGAATAATTACTGTGTTCATTTGCAATTTCAGACCTCTTTAAAAATATTGTATAATATTATTTAATTAGCGGATCTTATAAACATACCCAGCTTTTCCACTTGATTCCATTTTATTTGCTAATTCAACGTCCTTTGAATAAACATCAAATTGCCATTGTCGTTGTCCTAATATACCAGCAAGTACAGCACCAGTATGGATGCCCACTCGCATATCAACAGGTGAATTCGTTTTTTGTTGAACATATCTGATATATAACACATTTTAATATTAACTTTAAATACTAAAATTAATTGAATAATAAAGAGAATAATAAAAAATATATTTAAAAAAAATAAATTTTCATTTTAACTTACTTAATTGCTTTCACCATGGATAGGCCCATGTGCACACATAGTACTGCATGATCGGGTCTCTCATCTGGTGCACCGCTAATACAATAGTAGCAATCACCCAAAATTTTTATTCTTAATTGTTGATATTTCTGTAATTGTATTTAAAGTTAGATATTAATATATTATAATAATTTTTTAAATAATATAGCGATCAATTATAATATTTACCTCTGCAAGTCGATCAAAACGGGCAAATAACTCATTCAACATTTTGACCAAATCCTGAGCACTATAAGTGGAAGATATAGCAGTGAAGCCCACAATATCCGCATAAAGTATGCTATAAATTTTAAGAAATATTATTATAAATTATATTAATCATAAATTATAATGAAATAACTATGTGTAATAAGAATAATGTGGTAAATATAAATTATCGTTCAATTACTGCAATTATTATTAATATATAAAGTGATGAACAATTGAACTGTAATTTTTAAAACCATTGAATTTCTAAATCGAAGATTGAATTTTATTATTTTATTTTATTCAGAGCACCTTTCAAAACTTTGGTGTTATCTTTAACACTATGATCCAAAAATACCAAAAATGTCAACCGTTATGTCACCTAAACTATCACAAAAGGTAGTTTGTGACTTTTGTTTAGCCATTCAAATGTACTGACTTAGATAAATCAAGATCGTTAGGTATTAAGCCTTTTGATCAAATCTGTCTCCAATAATTACTGGATTGAAATGCGGTAGAAATCTTTTCCATACACTCCTATGAGATGGTTTTAGTGAGTTGAAGCCATTCAAATGTTTCAATTTTCATATAATCTCTCTGTTAAATAAACTTCTTCGTTTTATTTGTCTAATAATTGAAGAAATCTTTAACTCAGAAAGTTTTTTTCTTGAACTTTCCGAACCACTTTTACTTTAGATGCAGATTTTTCCGATCACAATCATTGTGTTTAGATAGTTTGGTTATAACGTGATATGATGCAATAACTCGAGACATTTAACATTTATTCACATAAAGAAGTTCAAGTGTTTTAATAATAGTCATTTGTGAACTTCCGCTTTAAAATAGAAGAAAAATAGAATTTGTTTCCAAACAACTAAGATAAAATGAGTTGTAAGCCAAATATGGACTCAATGTTGCCACCACTTCGAAAGTTATAGCAATTCAAAATTACTTACAGTTCAATTCGATCACTCTGTATATAGCCATATATATTTAATACAAGTATTTAATATAGCATATTATAATTTTATATTTGTTCTTTTATATATATTGTATTTAAAATATTTACCTAACATTTTCATGACGGCTCATATAAATCTTTTTAAAAGGCTCAGAACTAGTTGAACCAAGATCTTGTCGCATTTTCACAGCAACATGTTTCGGTAATACTGACAATAATAATCTTTCTTGCTCCGCTGACTGTTCTTCTATAACCATTTTAACCTCTAAACTTTTTTTGGCTTCTACAAATGTTCGTTTCTGTTTAGCTTCGCCCATAAAATAATATAATAGTCCAATAACTGCTGCAGTGAGTATTAGTACCGCATTAGCCAATATCTATTTTTAAACATATTTTTTAATAAAAAAATTTTAAAAATGGATATTATAATAAAATGAACCTGTTCTATCAGCATTGGATCTCTTCTACTGGCAATTAGAAGAGCTCCTAAATAAAAAATAACAGTACCAATGCCAAAAAGACAACCTGTATATAACAACGTCACTGGGAGGGTAACATATATAAGGAAATTCATTAAAATCGCCCAACCAAGTGCATCTCTATGAAATTTAAAAGAATAAAAACATAAAATAATATACATATGACATTTATATAGTATACAAAAATTCAAGAACTTACCTGGGTGATACGGATTCTTGTAATAGTATATAAAGTACCAAATGAATAATACACACCGTCCATAACACATGTGGTGCATAAGGTATAAAGATATTTATTAGTCTTTGTAGACCTGTTGACGAATCGGGCTTGGATAATAAGTAATTAAGATGTAGCAATATACATATAAGCAAGTTAATGCAGAACACAACCATTGTAACAACTGCAATATTAAAAAGTTTGGAAATAGTCAATATGTTTTAATAAAAGTTAAGAACAGAAAAAAAATTTAAATACATTTATTTATTTACTGATAAAACATAGAAGAGTTTTTTAAAGTTGGAGTAACCAGACTACTAGTTATAATGTGAAGCTCGCCGACAATATTGTTATTATTGTAGGCTTCATCAGAGATATATTGATAGTGATAAATGGGGATGAAGAGTATTATATCTAATGTGAACCAAGATCCTGGAACCTTGTAAACTGGTTTTGAAAAAGCCACATGTCACTTTGGCTTCAGTTTGTGGGAGAGTTTGAACACACTTTAATAAGAGATAAATAATCTCGTAATTAGTAACGTCTTTGTAATTTGAACCTAGTGAGGGTCCAATCAGTTATAGCTAGGTGATTCATTTTCTTGTTGAAAAGTCGTTATTAGAGGTCTGTTAAAAATTAGATAGCTTTTAAATTGGTGCATCGAAAAAAATGATGCGTCGAATGTGAAATAAAAAAAAAGTAATTTAATCATTTACACTCTAGAGTGGTAAGAGTCCCTCTAGATTGGGAATGTGTACACAAAATGTGTACACTGTAGGTTTTTCCCTTGACATCTGGTATTTAAGATCCGCTTAAATAATATATTAAAATTTAAAAATTGAAATTTTAAAGTATTAAAAAATTTTGCTTTATTTCTAGAGACACAAATTTGTTGTTGATCGAAATATATTATATATTATATTATATATTAAATAAATGGATAACCATTTTTAAATATTAAAATAAAATTTTAAACCACTTTTAAATATTTCTTAAAATCAACCGTTTTAAAAAAACCGTTTTGATAAATATTTTAAAAACCCCTTTTTTTTAAAAAAGAATAGGTGAGGAATTTGGAGAAATTAGAGAAGGATTAGTAGTAACAAGTTTACTGCAGATATGAAATTCGTCTCTTATACTAAAAAAATTTTTTACTAACCGTTTAAAGTTTTGATTTTTAAACTTTAAGCCATTATTTACAGACACGCTGATATCTAGGGGAAAAAAGGATTACAAATTTAAGCTCAGCGGCCTCAAGTTAACCTTAAACCGTTATAATAAAAAAAATAATCCAGAGTCGCAAAGTGATATCATTAGTACAAATGAATGTGAAGTGTGTTTCACAAAGATACCTCGCATAGGTAAAGGTAGGATCAAACTTTATCAAATAAATAACAAAATCTATTCGAAAAGGCTAGAAGTTATTAAGTTTATTTTAAAATTTATATAGCTTGGGTTTCAAACTTTATATGAAATTTTGGAGTGAATTTTAATCGTCTGGTGGGCGATAGTAGAAAATATATCAATAATCGCTTGCTCCAGAACCGAAGCAGCTATAAAATATATAAAAAATGCAAAATAAATCGTCAACTATATCCCAATAAACTAGGTATCGAGATGAAGATGTGTAGACAGTTACTGCGTTACAATGAAACTAGCAAAAATAAATGGACTCAAAATTTTTGCCACTAAACAAAAAGCATTTATAGGGTTCAGTAAATTTGAAACAGCAATTTAAAAAACTGTTTGTCAGTGTTGGATTTAATGCTTAGAATAATACGAATATCGTGTAGTAAATATATCTACAGAATTAAGTTATTCATCCACTTATTTAACAAAATATAGTTAATCAACCTTAAGTAGAGTTTGAAAGAATTTCAGCTGTTAAAACCAAAATATATAACTTCTTTCACTTCTATATGAAACCAATCGGAACAGGCGTTCTTTTTCGATTAAACAACTTTAACACTAACTGATTATATAGATTTTCTATGGTATATTATATATTACCATATATTGATACTTTAGAATTTTATAACAGTGCTTTATAGTGATAAGATTTTTAATTAAATTACACTAGCTTACAAATAATTAAAAGATTTTTTTTCCAATGACGAGAACTACTTCTTTCAACGATTTTCAATGTGATGGGACTGCCACAGAAATATTAAAAAATAAATTTTTTTGATTGGTGTTAAAGACTGTTGTAATACAAACATTTTGAGGGATTTAACATGAAAATCGAATAAAAATTTTTAAAGTTATACGCCATTTTCCAAATTTGCCCAAAATAGTGGTTTTTATCAACAAGTCAAACCAATACAGAAAAATCTTTATTTCGAAATTTTCGTGAAAAATTTAGAAGGCAAATCAAATTGAACAAATTTTATTCAAAAATAAAATATTTATATTATTAAATATTAAAATATTGCATTTCAATATAGATGCATAACATATATTAGGCATTTTGGATTTACCATGGCTAATCAAGATAAGCCGTGGACTCCTGATGGAGTGTACTCAACCTATAACGACACTTTCTCGCTGTCGTTATATAAATTATCGTTATAATAAATTATTTAATTATTTATATAATATATATTATATATCCATATTTTCTTATTTATATATTTTATTGTTTAGTATGAAGTTTCATCTTTAATTTGATATGCAATATTCTATGCAGTAAATTTACCAAAAAAAAAGTTATAGGGGTGTATGTGGGGGCATATCTTGAGAAAAATCAAAATAACGGGTTTTCAATATAACGGGAAAACGACTCTCAAGAAAAAAAAACAATGATTTTCGAGTCCTACGGAAAATTTCAATATAGAAAATGTAAGTCTCCTCTTTAAAACTATTTGGCTGTAAACTAGTCTTCGAATTTTAACATCAAATTTTTTGGTTCAACCCGCCCGCAGTATGAACACCTAGTCTTTAAAATAATTTAAACTATTATAACTATGTCTCTAACCGATATCGTTGAGTTAATACATAAATTAAATCTTATTGCCAACTAGTGCAACCAATCTAACCATAGTGAATACCGTAAAACGTTATTATTTATATTGATTAAAATAATTAAAATAAAAAATAATTAAAATAAAAAAAAAAAACTGCTAAAATATGCGAACATAAAAGTCAAGTACGGCTTTTGGTCAGTTGGTTAAGGAGCGCTGACTCCGAGCTATAAATTTGGCAGTGCACGAGTTCAATTTCTAATACTTACAGTCTCAAAAATTATTTACGAATAATTAAGTATAAGAATTATTCCCAAGACCAGACCACTGATGATGGGTATATGGCAATTCTCGAAACAGCTGTATGATCAGCCAAAAATTCAATTAATTAAAATAATATAAAATGAATTTTTGTTGTTGTAGCTCACTACTGTTCGAAAAACCTCTTTTTAAAATAATACAATGAATTAGTTTCTAAAATAACTATAAAAAAAGGCAGCAATTTTTATTATTCCCAAGACCAGACCACTGATGATGGGTATATGGCAATACTCGAAACAGCTGTATGATCAGCCAAAAATTCAATTAATTAAAATAATATAAAATGAATTTTTGTTGTTGTAGCTCACTACTGTTCGAAAAACCTCTTTTTAAAATAATACGATGAATTAGTTTCTAAAATAACTATAAAAAAAGGCAGCAATTTTTATTCTGATAAGATTCCCTTTAAAATTTTTACTATAAATCTAATCATTTAAGACTGTATTCGGTCCCAAAAAGTCATTTATTATTCTTTACTAACGTAAACATTCACGAAAACTTGTCAATAAAATTTAAACATCCTTTGAGCAAAATTTAATAAAAGCGTATTTAAATGGAATTCAAAAGTGGAATAGAAAAACACGATTTTCTGTTTGCTCCTTTCAATCCATTAGAAATAGAGGAAATAGAGTGCAATTATTAACTGTTGAAGATAGATGACGGTCTTGGAGGAAGTAACTTACACAGCCAATAACCATACAAAATGTGAAAGCAACAAAAATTAAAAATTCGAAAACTTGGAAAATGAATTTATTTCAGGAAAAGACCAGAAACTCATAAATTCAGTTCGTTTTTATAAATTTGAAAAAGAGTAGGTGAAATGTTCTACGTGTGTACAAATGCAGGATACGGCACGTTCTTTAGAAACTATTGAGGGAATTTAATTACAGTATTTCTTCCACAGCTTCGTTTCCTTTCACCACTAGGGAGACGCTGTTTTTAATTTCAATACCTGTTGTCACTTGTTTATAGATAGAAAAATGAATAAAAAATCCAACTACACTAAAATTCAATTCCAAGGATTGGATGCCGTAGTGAAATTATAAATTTTAAATGATAAAATTAATTTGTTTTATATATTATTTAAAAATTAACTTGTCTTATTAAATTAATTGCAATAAATTTATTTATGTTGGATATATTAGTCATTCTCTCTTTGATCCATGAGCACTCTGATTTCATTTTCATCAGAATTTCTATTTCTTATACCATATAGTGACAAATCGGATTGTTTATACTGATATACTAGGTGGATTGATAAATACCCGGCATTAGTAATAAAATACATTTTTTTTTGGAAAATTACATTTTATGCTTCAATATAGTCCTCTTTACTTAGCGATATCTCTCCAGCATTAGCCAGATTCTTACCTCTGGCTGATTCTACTTTGATCCTCTATCTACTACCCACTATTACGAGATTTTTTGTGGATTCAAAATGGCTTTCCTTTCGTCCTCCCTACACCACAACTAACTAACTAATAGTCCTCTTTTCGCTCGACACACCGAGTCCAACAAACTTTCAATGTTTGGTTACTTACTATTTCACTTCATCATTTGATGAAGATGGTCCCGGGAATCATCTTTTCAAGTTTGGAACCAGTTAATAGTTACTGGGAGCCAAATCTGGAGAATATTGTGGTTGAGGCTGATATTCAGTAATTCAACAGTAATTCAATTAATTTTGCCATGGTTTTCATTGACGTGTGCGTAGAGCAAGGGTGTTATTCTGCAAAATAAAATTTTTGTTTTCGACAAATGTGGTCGTTTTTTCTTGATTTCCTCATTTAATCGATATACAATAGTTGTCTGCTGTTATTGTTTTTCCTTTTTCATTTTTCCAAATAGTCTATGAATATTATTTTAATTCTACTTGAATCCCAAAATACGGAAGACAAAACTT